ATTAATTTCTTTTTTGTTTGTGTAGTGGTGTTTGTATGTTGTACAAACCTTATACGCAATTTGCTTCAATTGATTTTGTTCAATGAAGTATTCATTCATCAAAAAAAAAAAAATGCTGGCGAACTAACTGCTTAAAAAAGAACAGTGCCTTGTGCTTGCCCGAAACAGTGGCATACGCCAATTTTCGGAGGGTTCTCCTTCTCTGGGGGAGAGCTCTTACAATTGTTGTTCAAAGTTTTTCCTTATCATGTAGAACTCTAAAAAGCAATTTGTAGAAGGAAGACAAAAATTTCAATTAATAGCCAACAAAAGAACAGAACAGAAAGCAGGGCAGTAAACAAGAAAGCCAACTAACCACAACCCTTAGTGGAAACGGTACAACACTGCATATTTTGGCAAGGATTAGCAGAATATAAAAAAGACTAATATTTCAGTTCAGGAAAAAAGGAAATAATGCAGGAATTGACAGCCAAACAAAAGCAAGCGGATGCACAAACATAAGATAGGGAAGATGATGAGCAAGAGTCTTAACATGGGAGTAAGCACTCTGAGGCTTTTTTCTCAGTAAATCAGAAGGCAATTAGTGAAGGGCAGATGTTATGGAAGTCTGATCACTGGCTTATAACAATTAAGGTAAATTCTATGTATCACAGACATTAATACACTTTTTTCTTTTAACATCTGATTCATAGAGTTCGACTAGTTCTTGGCTTTGATTCCATAAACAAGCACTTCTCTACTTTATCAATTTTGATATGGGCAGAAACAGTTCGATCTCTAAGTAATGAATTAGTTCACGACTTAGCCATGATAATATAGAGCATATGCTAAAACTAGACCAATAGAAAGGTTGTTGAAGTTAAGGCCGGCTCAAGTTTGTTCGAACAATATACCACATTGGAGACACAGGAGAAGAGACAAATGACTTTGCCTATAAATACAAAGCTCGAAAAAACTTCGAACATACTTACCTGGACGGGGTCAATAGGCGATCAAGAAGGTCTATGGCCTAGGTCAGTGACATCCATTGCACTTAGGATGGGTGCTGTCCTAAGGTCTCCCCAAGTTGGGAGAGCCTACGTCAAAATTTGTGGCAGAGGGGGCTGCGCAAGTCGCGGCCCCTACCTAATTGTAGTTCCAATTTTTTGAGCTTGATAACTAACAGACGAAAACAAACCTGGCAAGTTTCATGTGTTTCATCGGATGCTAACATGAACAAGGCAATAAGATAAAATTGCAACAACAGCCAGCAGTTTCTGTAGCTTCTCCCGATTTCCTTCCTTGATATCTAAAGACAAGAAGTTGGATGTATAATCTATATAGCACCACCAGACTCGTTAAGAGTCCATATAGTGAGAAACCTATTGGTCTTAAGATATACTTTTGTTTAGAAGACTCAAGACATGACTTAAAAATGGTCTCTCCGATTAGATTTCATTCCTACTCTAGTTCTTGGTGTTAATAATGGCAGATCTGAGTATAGGTATGTTGCAATCGTATAAATCGCGCATTGGATGAAAAGAAAAGAGCTTTTCACCTTGTGCCATGTAAAATGTCAAGCAAATAGCAAATGGAAGGCCTGCAGCCATGTGGTGAGCGCAGAGCGAACTACTCTCTCCCTTTTGCTAAAGAATAACGCTGCAAACAGCGGCATACGACACTTTTAGGAGGGTTCTCTTTCCTTTAAAGGAGAGAGATCACACCCGGACTGGTTCTTTGAATCAGATTTGGGTCTTCCACAGTGTAACAAGCAAAGCATCCAGTAGGTGTCCATGGTTCATCATGGTTCTGGGAAAATCTATTCAGTAACAACTTTTAAAGCTTCTGAAACAAGTCATGCCTATATTCTCTTCAAAATTAAAACCAAACTCATACACAGCCTAACTAGTTGTAATTACAACCGATTATGCCTCATCGAAACAGTACTTCACTGCTTGACTTCCCCTATTATGGTTGCATTGTGAATTGTCAAAGTTGTTATAATCCTGAGTTCTACAAGCGCAGGAGTATGCAAAAATCCGAGATGGAACTCCCAACGTTTAAACAATTGTTGAGATATACCACTGGTGTATAGCCAATCAAGACCAAGATGACATGAACAGTATAAGTAAGCAGCAACCAATTATCTTCGGTCACATCTTCCTTGATCATGTCCTTGCCCTCCATTTCTTTCCGAAATATCTGCAAGTTCAGAAATTTATAGTATTGAAAAAAAAGATGGAACAATGTGAGCATAATTGAAGAACAATAGTTTAATTTCTTGCTTTCTTGATTGAACTCATAACAAGTTCTTGCTTTCAAATTCATGTCATCAACAGAGTATAAAACAGAGTAAAACCCTCGAAATTTCAGTTTGTGCAGTGGTATTTTTAATGAACAACATCCTCCATTTGAGCGAAATCAAGCTCCATTAGGAGGATAAGCATTAAGCAAGGCAATAGCCCTGCTTTTTTTACAAAGTCAGATTACTAAGAAGTCTCACAAAATCGGCTAATGAGGAATTCATTATTCTAGCAGTTACAGACATGAAACCGCCTATAAGCAGCCAGCAAAAACAAATTGAAGCCTCCGTAGAGCTGGATTTAAAAGACATATTTATCCATAATATTGATGGTCTAACGGACAGATTGTTATTTTCGGAGTAGCAAAGTAAGGTGTGGTTCGGAAACTAACTTGAGGAAAGGAAAATTAACTTACAACAATGAGTTTCGCAGCATTTTTTTCTTGTCTCATTGCTAGCCTTATTGTAGCAGCAGATAATATCCCCATGTGTGGGAGCAATCAAGATTCATTACAGAATTTTAAAAATTACGGGCACCAAAAAAACTTGAATTAGAATTTGATTTTGCTTTATGTCAATGGAAATAAATCTGGAAAACATTTGTGGAAGTACGAGGAGACCTTCTTTCAAAGAAAGAAGCTTGGCAGTTTCCATAGCTTTCCTCACTTGATACCTAAATTGTTAGTAGAAGCAAGTTATTATTTGAAGCATTCTGTGCTGCCTTTGGAAACATAAACAAGAAGTGGGATACGTAAACCAGAAACATCCTTAAGAGTCCATAGAGAGGAAAATCTGCTGGCGTTCAGATCACTAGTTTTGAACACTGATCAGACATGCTTTAATTCTGTTAGTAGTTTGATATTGGCGAAATCATTCTTACTGATCATGTATTTCCTACTCAAGTTCTTGGTTTCTTCATGAAATGATCCGATGATTTCAAGATATCCCACATCACAAAAAAGGGAAATGAACTGTCAGCAAGTGCGCTTATAATCCTAAGCAAACAGCTGTTGAAAAGCATGCAGCCGCGCGGTGTGCACAGAGCGAACTATTCTTTCGCCTTTTACTAAAGAATACCGTGTGCCCGCCGCAAATAACGGCATACGCCTATTTTTGGAGGGATCTCTTTCTTTGGAGGAGACCCCACATAACTCTAGTTTAAGTATTTCCTCGTAAATGACTAGAAAAATATTTGCTATGGATTAATTACAAAACTTGCGAAGAGAAAAATAATAAAAAAGGAGAATTTAAAAAGATTGTTTATTTTTTTATTTATATTTGTCTCAAAATAATTATTTGGTCAACATTTTAAATATTATATATATTTTTCTTAAATACTCTAATCAATTCTTTTTTTATTTCTTACTTTTTATGAATTAAAAAGTCAATGATTGTTTGTAAGGATATTTTTGAAAAATAAGAATAAAAAAAGCTATAATTAATGTTTTTTTAAAACTATATGAGAAGTCAAAAAAGATTAACATGCACTTTGGGACATAAAGAGTGTTTCTTTTTTAAGAAAAAAAATTAAAAATATTTTTACCCTGATCATTAACTTTTTTAGAAACGTTTTTTCTTATAAATATTTTATAAAAAATATATATATTTTTTATAATTTATAAAATTAGGAGAGTCGACCCTTAATTATTCTTTAATTCATAATTTTTTAAATGTATGAAATTATGTATTATTAATTATGTTTTTTATATTATTTTTTAAAAATGTTTATAATATTTTATAAAAAATTAAAAAATTTTAAATCAAAGGTTAAAAATATTTATAAAATTTTTTTTATATAATTTATTATATGTTTATAATATTTTTTAAGAAAAGAAAGTTCTAAAAATAAGTTCAAGATCAAATGGTTAAAAATATTTTTAAAAAACATAATTAACATTGGAATATCAAAACGATATCATTTTGACATTTCAAGTAATAATTAACATAATTTACCATTATATATAACAGTTATTAAGAAAACTGGATCAATTTTGTCAAAAAATAAATAATTCATAGTTTAAATTACACAATTTAATATTAAAGATTGAAATTATTAAATCGTTATAGAATAAGGGTAAAATTTATCTTTAAATCCTTACTGTTACAGTACCCCTGATCAATGATTGTGAGGGGCTGCAGACTGAAAAGGTATCTTAACTATGCCCTACCCCGTTGAGCAATAAAAAATGTCTCTATTTCATATAAGTAGATGAACCCAGCCCACATCCAAAGTGTTTTTATTCTCTCTTTTTACGCGTCAGAATCAATACCTTGCAAAAACCTTAAGAGGAAAAAAAAAAAAAAGAATTGATTTTTCTATCAATTAAAAATATTTTAGAAAAATACATTATTTAAAATTTGACTAAACAAATATTTAGAAATAAATATAAATAAAAGGAGAATAATAAAATCAGTTACTCTCGTTATGTGAGTAAATTATAAATCAATCCCTTTAATTTTTTTATAAACAAATTAATTAATTTTTCTTATTTTAAAAATCAATTTTTTAATTGATATATACCATATTTAATTTTATATTTTTATTTTATTAAATGTCAAAATAAATTAAAAAAAAACTTAAGTTACAAAAAAAAATTTAAATATAAAGATTAATAATTAATTTTTGAAAAAAAAAACTAATCAAAAAGATCTTTTATAATTTTCTCCTCATTGCTTGGCTCCCAAAAAAAAAAAAAAAAAAAATACAAAACCGATGCAGATGGCTGGTGAAAGTAAGAGAAGAACAGAAGAGTGGCTGGTGAGCGAGCTCCCACCAGATTGGATAATGGACATTCTATCAAGGTTGTCAACGAAGACCCTCTTCAAATGTCGATGCGTTTGCTAAAATTGGCTTCATTTCATGCCAGACCCTTTCTTTATCAAACTTCAGCTTTCAAGATCACCCACTTCTATCTTAATCCAACCTATATATGGAGGAGAACTTTAACTAACCCAGGTATATCTTGGAAGATGTCAGTATTAATAGTTTCCAGGTTGAGAACATGAAGTTTGTTACCGAAATCAACCTGCCCAATTGTAATCTTGCGGTCGTAATTAAATTCATGCAATGGGTTGCTTTGTTTATATGCAAATACCAGTATTTATGCGTCCAATCCAATTTTAAGTGAGTAAATAACCATTCTTATAGCTGATACGGACAAAAAGGTTCCGTTTTTGGTTTTTGGATTCAGCTCCTTCAGTAGTGAATACAAAGTGTTACAGACCTTTTATAGAGATGAAGAAAAAATGTGGGATACAGAGGCTGAAATATAAAGCAATTGGTTCTGAACAATTAATGCAGAAATATTGGGCAGGCTCCTCGCAGCTTTGATAGGAATGACCATGTTAATACTTTTTTGTGGATCGATCCACAGGGTTCACAACCATTCTCAAAGTTTCGACTTTATAGACGCTTTTGAATTTGATACTGAGCAGTTTAAGCAGCTGTCCTTACGTCCTCCTCCTCTCATACGTTATGATGGGTTTTTGAGCGTGGGAGTTTTACAAGGTTGTCTATCCGTGGCTTTTAGTGTTAGTCATGAATTTGGAAACCTTGAGATATGGTTTGTGATGGAATATATATGGTATCAAGGAGTGTTGGACCAAATATAGTTTATCATTGAAAATGGAAACCTGCATGAACTTATTACAACATTCATGATCCCGTAATTTTCCTAAGCGTAGGAAAATCCTGATGTTGCATTGTGATGTTAGTGCTTTGTTTCTCTGCAGGACGTTGCCAAAGGAGAAGAACTGAATGTATCATCAAGGTAATAATTTGTTGCCTAAACATTAGTATTGTTTTAGCTTATAGGTTGCTACCTTTTTATTATTCGTACTAGGTTGATTAGTTGTTGATCATTTGTTAATTAGTTGATGGACTGCAGGCAACTGTAACTTGTATATTTTTGCTGATTTAAACATATGTATGAATCAGTATCTTTATGTCTGCCAAAAGTTCATTTCAGATTTTGGTATGGCCATATTTACTTCAGTAATATCGTTTTGGCATGACGGACGTCAGTTAGTTTGCTTAGATTGAACCAGTCAAGTTCAACCTTTCAAGAAACATCTACCTGAAATTTACCTTATTGAGGTTTTACCTTCTGAGGAAGCAGGGGCTTCTGTGTTGCACGTGCATGAGGGCACGAGGGGTGATTTTCAAGTTTTTCCTGTGCAAGAGTTCTATGTCGGGCTTCTTGGGCAGCTGTATGAAGCAGATGAGGTATTTTGGGGCACATCCTGCGTTGAGCCTCTCATTATGGCTGCTCTTCTAATGTTGAGCTACTTCTTTGATTTACTTCTGTTTATCTCTAGCTCGACAACTCCGATTGGAGTATCTGCTTTTGTGTTCAGATAATTCATCAGTTTTTCCACTGACCCGGCTTGACTTTACGGAAATTTATTTCTAGATTGATTTTTGTGAGATCTTTGTTACTGATCTTACTTTTCTTACTCTAGTTCTTTGGTCTCATCTCTCAATGGAGATTTGTAGTGTTCTGATGTCCTTTTTCACACCCCGCATCATATAAGAACAGCAAATTCCTTGAAAAAAAACTAACAAACATGAAGCGAAAATCATGCAGTCAGCGGTAAGCACAGATCGAGCTATTCTTTCCCGTTTTACTAAATCATATCGTGTGCTTGCCACAGACAGTGGTACACGCCAATTTTTGGAGAGGTCTCTTCCTTGAAGCAATCAACTTCCTTATAAAGCTTCTGCTCTTACAAAATAAATTGACAAAACATCAACTATGTAATTTGGAAAAAAATAAAATAAAAAAAGAACTACTGGAATCCATTTCAATAGCGCTGATTGGCTACATTGACTCAAGAAGTTGAATTTGGAGCAGATTTTGTTTTGTGTAAATTAGACATTCAACTTGTTCTTTCCAAAAGGCAGCAGAGAAGACCTTTAATTATTTTCTTGACGCTGTTACCTTCAAGGTATCAAGTGAAGAAGCTATGGAAATTCATGGTATGCACAGTAAATACCTATTTTAATCCTTTCCATGGACATAAAAGTCATAATCATGCTCTAGCTTTAGTTCTTTGCTGTCCCACATTTCCTAGATGCTTTTCACATGCCTCGTCTGTTCCCCACAGATAGGGATATCATCTGGTACTACAACTGCTGCTGGAATAAGGTTAGAAAGCATACCAGAAAATGCAGGGAAACTCATTGTCTTAAGTTCATTGCCTCCTTAGTGTTCAACATTCAAACCATGGCTTCCTTCACTGCTCATCAAATAATGATTTCTGTTGAATTTTTAAAGAAAGCTGTTTTAGTCATTCAGACCACAAAATCTGTACTTCCATATGCATTCAAAATCCAAGTTGTTTCTTCCTGTTAGTGGATGGACAACACCTCTCATGCTGTCCAGATGATTATTGTGTTAACAAGTTCTGTAGACCAGTGAGCCATGAAAATTGACACTGATACAAGTAATACAAGTCTACTTGGGCAACAGAGAGACATTTTGTGGAATTCAAGCCTTTGAACTTCCCTATCACCACCACAATGCTCTCAATTCAAACTCAAAACTAAATTATATTTACCTTCTTTATGTACTTGATATCAGAGATAAATTTCTCTACTGTCAAAATGGGTATGAGGTTTAGTTATCAGTCCAAAAGAAGGAAGGAAACAATTAACTGCATTAAGTACAGTAAAAATAAAGCATTCCCGCAACCAAAAGAAGGAAAGAAATCAATTATTGAATGGGAAAAGCATGCTGTGAATTTGGGGTGATTGCAGATAACCAGCAAAGGTAACCATTGAAAACAAAACTTGGGTATGCTCTATAAAAAATCTTTCTTGAAACTAGAGAAAGCATCATGAAAGAGGATGTAGCTCCCAAAGTGGTTTATCCAAATAGGAGGTAAGATTTTGATATAATTTGATCTATTATCAAAGTTTGAGATTATTAAATATGGTATCTCTTAATGAAGGGAAAAAGAGAATGAAAGAAAATCTTTGATGTAATAGAATTATGAGCAGAAAAGAAAGGCAAGCAAGTGTACAAACAGTCACAATATATGCATAACATGATGGCAAATGTATCGATAGATTCAGGAATATATTTTATTTTGTAAATCTGTATGCTAAGTAAGAATCATTTCAAACAGAGAAGCTGCTGAGAATATAAGCAGATTCAGGAATGGAATAAATATTTACAGAATTTATGCATATGCATTACAAGATGCCAACTAATCTGCAGACTTATACTGATAAAACAAAAACTATGGTTAGAAATTTAATTGATTCTCCCTCTTAGAAGCTCCTCATGCTGAAAACCTCTTGAATCAGAAGCTCCTCATGCTGAAAACCTCTTGAATCAGAAGCTCCTCATGCCAATAGGTCAAACTAGTGGGGCAACAGAATAAAATCTCATCTACCTTACCAATGGCAATTACTGTATTTGGAACACCCCAGTGCAGAGTGTTCCCCATTTTTCATTTCATATATCAAATTGACCTCTACCACCAATTTGTGTGATCATAACATCGGACTCAGTTAAATCAATCAAGCTATAAAGCAGAATTGACAGTGCCTAATTCCAACTCTAATCAGCTAAATATGACAAGCATTAAATTGCTCACTGCTGTTTGCTACCAAGAGAACAACAGTCTGTGTCTTAATCTATGATTATTAGTGTTCTACTCATTCACAAGCATTCTCCTGAAATAACCCAAACATATTTTTTTCTTCATTCCAAGCAAACACCATAGGATGAAATCAGTAATGACAAGCAATCAACCATCAAATCGAATACAAACCAGGTTAAGAAAGACCAGTTTATTTAATATTTATTGAAAATGAACATCTGCTGTCATTCAATGTCTACGACATCCCATACTCCAGTCCAGTGAGTGAGAAGAGAGTGACTACTAACATACATATGAAACTCAATAGCAAAAAATATGTATATATAGCAAATCAAAACTCTCTCCCCGCTCTCAGGTTTAGGACAGTTAGAATTCATGGCCATCATCATGGCAATTGTCATCAGCAGAACTAGCCCTCCCTGGGTTAGTCACAGAAGGACTGATGGCTTCAGCTAAATTGACAGAGGATGAAGTTGGATTTTTGTTGTGGTTTGAAAGCTCCTCAATTTGCTTCAATAACTTTCCCTTGAATTCTCCCATCAACTGCTGTAATTTTTCCAGCTCCTGCAAGTTGAGATTGTCAATTGGTGCATCCAACAAAGACTTACCACGGGTCACCTTCTCCATCTCCTCGAGCTCCCTTCCTCGCTGCTTTTCGGCTTCCAGTTGTTCTAGCATATCTGCATACTGCTTGTTAAGCGTATTAAGAGTGGCCTCGTGTTCAGCCAAATGCTTATTGAAATCAGAATTTTCAGGGTCAGCAATCCATTTTGCAATTCCCTCGACACAAAGATGACAGACAGAGGACTGACTACCACCAAGGGACAACATCTCGACAACACATAAGCTATGAGCTGCACAGGCAGCCTTAGAAGCACTAGATTGGCTCTTTGGAAACAAAAGTTGAGCATCTACTCCCTTAACCATCTTTTTTTGACTCTTCTTAGAAACCATGATAGCGAGTCTTCGAATTAAAATAACTAATGGAGAGTGGTTTTCTTACAATGAGAGTAGGAAATGGTGAGGAACATCACATTGATTTATAGGTCTTTGAGGCCCTAATCTAGCACACAACCTCACCATTTTTTAAATGGTAACCTCCGTGTCCTTCCATATATTTTCTCAGTAGTAACGGAAATATGAGAAAATCTTATCACTCTAGCAGTCTAGCTACACCGAATGGAAAATTGTAATTAAAGAATACCCTAAAATGGCACACTGAAAGTATTTGGCTGTCAGCAATTTAGACAGAAATGGAGGCTAAATTCAAAAAAGCCTTCTAAAGTAAACGACAAAAGAAAATTCAAGGATAAACGAATGGCTCAGGCCTGCCTTATCTCATTTGGCTTGTTTGAACTCTATAACGGCCAGCAATATAAGATTTTCATAAATCAAAGCTATCCTAGATTGGCCCAACTCATTCTAGAACATAAAAATGTGCATCTTTATTGTGTGTTTCTGTTCTAAGCAGCCAAACATGCAAAATTCCCTAGCAAAGAAGATAAGTACAGTGATCTTAAAATTGGTAAGAAAATAAAATGTCAAGAGTTGGATAATAGTTCTGGCCTCAATAGAGGACGTTGAATTGCTCGGTTAATTCAAGTAATTTCAAATACTACTGAACAGGATACCTTAGTTGTCTGATTGTTATATCATATATTTATGACATATTTCTTTTAAAGAACTTCAAAAACTTTCCGTATATGAAGGTGTGAGATGACACTAGGAGTTTTAAGTTCATGTTAATTTCAATAAGGATAATAGTTTGTCTTTTAAACGGTACAAACTACAAGGACAAGGGTGTTTTTTTTTTCTGATGTAAATTCAAGTTAATAGCAAATAAACAGACAACATTCATCAAAATGAATTCACAATCTTGTACATCCAGCACGTTACATTTCATTCTTCCCTTTCATAAAACTGCAATTCTAATTCAACCGACCGAGCAAAAGATAAAGGATCTGTACAAGTAAATGCATCTCTGCTAGTTTTGATTATACACAAATATCATTGTCATTTATCATTAACTTAAGAGCTTGAAGTCCATATAATCAAAGTAACAAGCAGACACAGGTTGAGATGATAGACTTTGGAACTTCTGGAATTAAAAAAAGTCAATCCAACTTTGTTGCTAAATTATAATGCTTTTAATGTTAGCATGCATTATAAAAGAAGTGCTAATGAAAGACTAATTCCTTCCGACACACATTAATTTGCAAGTCCATAACTGCCACAAGATACACAATAGAGGCCATTTATGTGGCAGGGTCAACAGTGAAATGTATGTTGTTCTATGAGCAGCTCCCATTAAGCCCACAGAACAAACCATACAACTATATACTGTTTTATGACTCAATGAACAAACAATAAATTTACAAGCCATTATAAAAGAAGCTCTAAATGCTATCAGATACTGGAACTTTTTTGAAAATGGCATGTGAATTTAGTGCAAAAACGGGCACTTAGTCAAAGTGACAAGTAAATTAAATCATAACAATGACAATAACTACAATCCCAAGGCCAGTTTTTTTTAAAGGACTTGATAAACAAAAGATAGGAAATCCAAACCCTATTAGATTCAATGTTGGACACGATGCAGTATCAAAGCTGGTTAGCATATCTTTCACTATGTGAGGAATCGATAGATTAAATAGAAATTAAGGGAGCAAAAGAAAGTAATGATTTATAATTGATGCTCGGCTTGCTGATAACATAAACATAGAATGAGGAAACGTGCATCACAAATCAAGAGTTCACCACGAACACATTAAGGTTGTGTGAGTACCTTTTATCAAGTCATGGAAGAAAATATCATAGCATAATAGGGTTTCTCCAAAAGATTTCTGCAAATGAAAGAAAAACGTCGGCAAGCCTGACCTATGAAAAATACAAAAAATTCCATAAAACATTGTGCCACAACTCATAAGGAAAGCAGAGTAAGGACAACAAAAGGCATGTGAAAGGACTATAACTTGATGAAGATCTTTAAACATGTGCTTCAGTTCTTTCGAATTAGCATCTGAACTCAACCAAACAAAACCTCAATCCATACATGAATATTGAATTCTACTTTGACATTCCTAAAATACCTAGCAGGTGGTTCTCAAAGAACCCACATGTAAACCTAATTGTATAGTATTTCCAAATTCAACGATATAGCAAGCCCATCGAAAAGAGAAAGATATGAACATGACTGAAAATCAAACATCCACAAGGGAAAGAAATAAAGTACAAAGTAGAGGAGCTTAAATTACATTAGTGAGTGTGACAAAAGAAATGCAAATAAGCAGTAGCAGGAACCATTGAACGGTGGCATTCGTTCTGGCTGGCAACTGCAAAACAGAACTCGAGCGTGTATGGGCAGTTAAAAAGGGCATCAATTAAATCCATCGTTTTCTACAAGGTATAATTACTTTTCAGTAACTAAAGTTTTGATGGAACTATATATTGGTCCTCATACTTCTAAAACCACCTAGCATCAGGTGTTTCAATTACTGAAACAGCTGCTCTGGCACCTTGGGGGAAGAAAAGCAGTATGGCTAGACCTAGATTTTTTGGCTTTAATTCCATGGAAAGAATTCTTAAGTTGGTGTTGACAGCAAACCTTCTTTCAACGAAAGCAGTTTCTATACTTTTCTGACCTCGTACCTAAATGGTAACAGAAGCAAGTTATGAAACCAAGAGCTTCTGGATCTGGTATACCTTTGGAAACACAACGACAGGAACTTGGACCTTAATTTATATAAACCACCCACAAGAGTCCACAAGCTCCTGAACTTGTGGGAGAAATTTTTTAATGTTTAGATATTCATTAGTTCTGAAAAATGACTAAACATGACTTCATAATATTGTAAGATTGGTTTTTGTAAAATTTTACTTACTGTTTTTGCATTTCTTGTACAATAAATTATATATATATCTTACTATAAGTGATTAAAATATTATGACTATTTTTAATTTAATCCATATTCCAAACTCAACATGATATTCTCAATTGTCAACTAAAAACTTTAACTTAATATATTATAATAATCATATATATAATTTATTAAAATATTGTGATTATTTTTAATTTAATTCACATTACATACTCAGCATGATATTCTTAATTATCAATTAAAAACTTTAAGTTAATATCTATTTATTTTTATTTGATTGAAATTTTTTAATTTTTAAAATTTATTGTTTCAAACTCTTCGTCATGATGTCGTTTATTTTTCATTTTATATAACACATTATAAATAATATCTTCTATTTTTTATCTGATATAATATATTACAAATAATTGATTAGTGATTAATAGCTGCCATTATAGGTTTTAAAAAATAGTTTTTCTTTCTAAATAAAACAATTAAAATAATAATAATAATAAAATAATACACACTGTTATAAAATAAGATGAAAAAACCAATTCTCCCCTGCCAAAATCACTAGCAAAAGCCCTCATTCTTCAGCAGCTTGCATTCACTACCAAAAAAGGGACAAAATTTCAGCTTCCCGCCTCCCAAATGCAACAAAAAGAAACCCTTTCCTGAGAAATCCAGTGATCATCATCCAAAATAAATTCTAAAAAAATGGTGAAATCCAAGAAGGTAGAAGCCAGTAATTCTAAGAGAGAGAAAGACTGAAAAAGCTTGCAAGAACCAACAACATAGGAAAACTCTAAGAAAAAACAGGTGCTTGTTTTTATTTCCTGGTCTTCTTGCTCCTATTAATGGCGGTGGCAAGATTGGCGAGCTCTAAAAACGATGTCCTTTTCTCGATTTTTCTCAGGTTTTGAACTTTTATGGGTTTGCTTCTTTTTGGATTTTGATTTGTGAGTCATTGTGTTCTAGATTTTGGTGGTAATGGTGAAATAAAGTTGGTGAATGAATGACATGTCGTTTGTTTTTTTTTTTTTTATAAAATGCAGGAACCTATTTTGTCTTTTCATCTTATTTTTTAATTTTATTATTAAAATTATTTTAATAGTACCAGGTTATTGGTTCTGCACCATAGTTAGACCATAGTATTGTACTGAATCCTTACCTTCTAGAATGGGTTCTGCACCATAGTTAGACCAATCCTCCCCGCAAACTGCAAGTATGGCATCAATTTTCCTTGCATGAATCTATCCATAGTTCTGGAATGGTGGTTTTTCAATGAGTCCACAAATATAACCAGATAGCGAATTGTGAACCATTTTACAATGCATAAGCATCTGATGTGCTACTTGGTAATTGATATCTCCTCAGACTTCTCAAGAACCCCACAGGGGCCCCTGGCAGGATCTGTTCAGTACACCTCAGCTTCGAAAGCTAGGAGAACAATTCCTCCCTCAAGACTCATCAAAGCAGCCATGATGGGGATAACTAATAATTTTGCAATTCTTAGCGTGGAAGTAAGCACTCTGAGGCTTTTTTTTCTCAGTAATTCAGAAGGCAATTAGTAAAGGGCAGATGTTATTGAAGTCTGATTAGGACTGGCTGATAACAATTAAGGTAGATTCTATGTATTACAGACATTAATACTCTTTTTTTTGGCTAACGTTTGCTTCACAGAGTTCTACTAGTTCTTGGTTTTGATTTCATAAACAATCACTTCTCTACTTTATCAATTTTGATTTGGACAGAAACAGTTTCGATCCACGACTTAGTCATGAAAATGTATAGCGTATGGTAAAACAAGAGCAATAGAAAGGTTGTTGGAGTTGAAGTTAAGGCCGGCTCAAGTTTGTTCGAACAATATACCACATTGGAGACACAGGAGAAGAGACAAATGACTTTGCATATAAATACAAAGCCCGAAATAACTTGAAACATACTTACCTGGACGGGGTCAATGGGCGATCAAGAAGGTCTATGGCCTAGGTCAGTGACATCCATTGCACTTAGGATGGGTGCTGGCTTAAGGTCTCCCCAAGTTGGGAGAGCCTACGTCATAATTTGTGGCAGAGGGGCTGCGCAAGTCGCGGCCCCTACTCAATTCAAGTTCCAATTTTATTGTAACTTACAAATGGAAACAAGCCCTTCGAGTTTCCGTATCGTTCAGGGGATGCTAACACGAAGATAAATTTGCAACAACATGAGTTTCCTCCGGATCTCCTTCCTTGATATCTGAAGACAAGTTGGATGTATAATTTTTATCGCACCACCAGACTAGTTAAGAGGGAGAAACCTATTGGTCTTGAGATATGCATTAGTTTAAAAGACCGAGAAATGACTTAAAAATGGTCTCTTGGATTGGATTTCGTGATTTCATTCTTACCAGTATAGGTATGTATCATATAAAATGTCGAGCAAATAGCAAATGGAAGGTCTGCAGCCATGCGGTGAACACAAAGCAAGCTATTCTTTCCCCTTATACTAAAGAATACCGCTGCAAACAGCGGCATTTGACACTTTTAGGAGGGTTCTCTTTCCTTTAAAGGAGATAGATCACACCAGGACTGGTTCTTTGATTCAGATTTGGGTCTTTCACAGTGCAGCAAGCAAAGCATCCAGTAGGTGTCCATGGTTCATCATGGTTCTGGGAAATTCTATTCAGAACAACTTCTAAAGCTTCTGAAACAAGTCATTTGAGATATACCACCGGGGTATAGCCAATCAACAGCAGAAGCCTGCAAGAAAAAGGAAGAGAACATAACTAAACCGGATTGTCATTTCAGACCAAGACGACATGAACAGTACAAACAAGCAGCAACAAATTATTTTCGGTAACATCTTTCTTGATCATGTCCTTGCCCTCCATTTCTTTCTGAAATATCTGCAAGTTCTGAAATTTAGAGTATTGATAAAAAAAAAATAAAAAAAAAGGAACAATGTGAGCATAATTGAAGAACAATAGTTCTAAATTACCAGTCTTAATTTCTTGATTTCAAAATTCATGTCATCAACAGAGTATAAAACATAGTAAATTTCAGGTCCAATGGTACTATTATGTGAACAACAACCTCCATTTGAGCGAAATCAAGCTCCATTAGGAGGATAAGCATTAAGCAAAGCAATAGCCCTGCTCTTTTTAACAAAGTCAGATTACTGGCAAGTCTCACAAAATCGGCCAATGAGGCATTCATTGGTCTAGCAGTTAGAGACAAAAAAACCAAGATCCTGAATGAGTCCATATTACTATCCCCGAATAACCAACAAAAAATGATCCTTTGAAGTCTGTTACTGTGTTCAAGAACTTGGACTGGAAATGCTTCACAATCTTTCATATTGGCCTTCCAAAAACACAGCACTGATTAGCTCAAATCACTCAGAAACAACCATTGTATTGCGTGTCTAGTGAATTGGGTTCGTAGGAAAGCCCCGGAAGTTGCTCGCTCAACCAACAAATTCCACATGGACAAAGTATAACTGATAAGCCATGTGCGTATAAATTAGAAGCCCACGCTAATGAGAGACATACTTACCTAGACGGAACCCATAAGATCCATGGTCTGGGTAAGTGACCTCCATCGCGCTTACGGGGGGTATTGGCAATTGTATGTCATTGAAGAAAACATCTCTATATAAGTTATGTCACTGAAGAAGACTAATCTCTATGTAAGTTCTGACACTTGATTGAACAAATGCAAATTGACTATTCAATGATCAGTACAAGGATGATATTGCTAATAGCTTTTGTCTAATATTTGTTTGAAAAGAGGCCATTGATTATTCAATGATAAGTACAAGGGATGCATACAATTGACCATTTCTTGACCAATACCAAAGGATTATGTAAAAAAAAAGCCATTTTTTGATTTCTGAAAACACAGAGAAAGACAAATATTACCCCCTGAAAATCTGTACCATTGCTCAACTGACGATCATGATGTCTGCCTCATGCCTAATGGAGTCGAACAGCTTAGATAATATATAAAAAGCTCTGTTGTGCTGGCGAAAACCACCTATAAGCAGCAAGCAAAAACAAATTGAAGCCTCAGTAGAGCTGGATTTAAAATACATATTTATCCATAATATTTATGGTCTAACGGACAGATTGTTAGTTTCGGAGTAAGATGTGGTTCCTGCTTGAGGAAAGGAAAATTAACTTACAACAATGAGTTTCGCAGCTTTTTTTTCCTGTCTCATTGCTACCCTTATTGCAGCAGCAGTTGTGGCAGCAGATGATATCCCCATCTGTGGGAGCAATCAAGGTTCATTACAGAATTTTAAAAATTACGGGCACCAAAAAAATTGGAATTAGAATTTGATTTTGCTTTACGTCAATGGAAACAAATCTGGAATATAATTGTGGAAGTACGAGGGGACCTTCTTTCAAAGCACGAAGCTTGGCAGTTTCTATAGCTCCCTCACTTGATACCTAAATGGTTACTAGGAGCAAGATATTATCGGAAGGATCTCTGTGCTGCCTTTGGAAACATAAACAAGAAGTTGGGTATGTAAACCAAAGCATCCCTAAGAGTCCATAGAGGGGAAAATTTGTTGGGGTTCAGATCACTAGTTTTGAACACTGATCAGACATACTTTAATTCTGTTAGTAGTTTGATATTCGGGAAATCATTCTTACTGATCTTGCATTTCCTACTCAATTTATTGGTTTCTTCATGAAATGATCAGATGATTGCAAAATATCCCACATCACAAAAAAATGAAATGAACTGTCAGCAAGTGTATATATAAACCGAAGCAAACCTCACTTGAAAAGCACGCAGCCGCGCGGTGTGCACAGAGCGAACTATTCTTTCGCCTTTTACTAAAGAATACCGTGTGCTCGCCGCAAATAGCGGCATACGCCTATTTTTGGAGGGATCTCTTTCTTTGGAGGAGACCCCACAACTCTAGTTTAAGTATTTTCTAGCAAATGACGCGGAAGTATTGAATCTCCTGAAGCTTGAAAAATGAAACGAATTTAATGAATTTGATCATTTGGTGTAGAGTGGTAATTAGCATGTCCTGAAATTTCACAAGAATCCTTACAAAGCCCTTGGCAGGATCTGTAAAGTAGACCTGAGCTTCAAAAGCTAGTAGAACAGTTCTTCCCTCAAGACTCATTGAAGCAAGCATGAAACTCTTTGATGGGCCTGTGAAAATCAATCCAATGCCAGTTTTACCGATTGCAACATCACAAGAACCGAATATAAGAGCAAATGGTTGGTTAAAATTTTCATTTAACTAAATCATATTTGGACTATTCATGTGACAATATGCAAACTAAATGAACATGTAACAACAAATTAATAAGTGTCTTCCTTTGCTTGTTCTGATGCATTTTTCTTGTTGATTGCATCCGATTGTAGCAGGTTCTTGCTTTCAAAATCCATCGCTTACTAACCGAGTAAAAGCCTTGAAATTTCACTCAACAAAAAGGGTACCCCAACAGCTCTAGAGTGAAGTACTCCTATACAGGTAAATAAACCACAAACCAAGATAACATGTACAGAAAAAATAACAAGCGCCGACTATGAAAGCAAAATTATTGAAGAGAGGAATGATGAAGAAGTACTTATTCAGAGTCCTTAGCTATGCAACTGCAACACTATGTGTACGGCATAATAAGCAACATATTATGTGCAAGTGTATTGGAGATTGGAGATTGCAATGAAGCGTGGTTGCGGCAATTAACTTGAGATTCCCACATCGAGGAACTACTACGAATAAGCAACGCATCCATGTATAAATAAGAGGCTCCAAGCAACATGCAACCTACTTACCTGGACGGGGTCAATGGGCGATCAAGAAGGTCCATGGCCTAGGTCAGTGACATCCATTGCACTGAGGATGGGTGCTGGCCTAAGGTCTCCCCAAGTTGGGAGAGTCTACGTCAAAATTTGTGATAGAGGGGGCTGCGCAAGCCGCGGCCCCTGTCCAACAGCAGTTGAAAAGTTATATTTGATGCGGCACAAGGAAGCGTAAAGCAACCAGACATGGGAAATTTAATTCGTGATTCTTGGGTGTATCTACTTCCACAATTTGCCGTCTCTTTTTCCCGAAATAGGTTTCTGTTGTCTTGTGTTGATGTTTTAACGGCGCAATGGCCATCAAAATCTGATGAGATGAGACTTCTGTCAACAAAATCAGCATGTGATCTTTAATCTTCTCTGAATTGTGTACTCGAAAAAATATGCACGGTAAACTTGCTTCGATTGAGGGGAAAAACTTGTGGCAATAAAAAAGAAACTGGTTTGAGGAGAACAATCCCATACCACCCTAAAATGTTATGGCCAGTTACAATAAATATGGCACATATCCCATCCAGTCGGCAATTGCCTGGATAAGGATGTTGATACAACAGGTCTTTTTTTCTCATACAATACTTTGTAACCAAACAATAACTTAAAAGAGGTGTGAAAAACAATTTGGAATATTTATCACTCACATTTGCAATTTATTTTAAAATGACAATGTCCCAAGGTATTATTTACAAAAGCTTTTTGTAATTCATACGAAAGCTTTTTTTTGGTTTTTGTTGTTGTTGGGGGGGGGGGGGTGTGGTTGTGTTGATGAATGAATTTCATACAAATCTCTCTATATGCACAATTCACTGAAATCTCTTGTTGCAGAGGGGGCAGGCAAGGCGGGTCCAGAAGTAAAGGTATACCCGGCGCTGCAAAAGAAACATATCCCACATCGTACAAAAAGGAAATGAACTATCAGCAAAGCTAATGAAAACCTAAGCAAACGAAATTCGGAAAGCACGCAGCCGCGCGGTGAGCACAGAGCGAACTATTCTTTCGCCTTTTACTAAAGAATACCGTGTGCTCGCCGCAAATAGCGGCATACGCTTATTTTTGAAGGGTTTTCTTCCATAGGAGGAGAGCCCACTCAATCCTAGTTTAAGTTTTCCGCTTATAGACTAACAAGCATGCCACCTTAAGAAATTTCCCTCCACCCATTGATGATTTTACCACCAGTTCCTGTATCTGCAACCAAGGCATCGATTTTTCCTCCTCAGTCTATCCATGTTTCTGGTCCTGTGGTTTCATAATGAGTCTACAAAAGTAAATGGAAAACGGTTCGTCAGCACTTTCAACTGTGTAATCTCTATAACTAAAAAAAAAGGGCCCAAGAATATACCTGTGGATTGGAAGGATTGTCAAATTCTCGAAGCATATACCATATGGCGTGTTACATGTTATCTCCTCTGACTTCTCAATATCATCGAACCCTTCGCAGGATCTGTGAGGTGGACTATCTTACCTCCAAAAGATAACTCTGTATACTTGTGCTGCACCAATGACGGCTAATCCAATGCCAGTGTTACCAGTTGTGGCCTCAATAAGAACACTCTTGAGCCAATTTAAATCAAACATAGCCGCCCCCCCCCCCCCCCCCCCCCCCAAAAAAAAAGGAAATTTTTGTTAAAAATTTCGTATGACTATCATATTTGATTGTTAATCTGGAAATATCCATACTACATGCACTTCCTATGCTTCACGAATGTGTGCAACCAACAAAATTTTATTATCAAGGAATTTTTGTTGCTAACCTTCCCTGGCGTAATCCAGCCCCTATCTTCTGCTTCTTTAATCATTTTATATGCAATCCTACACAATTCAGAAACGTACAATTCTATCAGTTCCAAGACAAAATACTGTATTTGGCAAAAGAGAGGTACGTAGTGAATAAACAGAACAACTAAAGTATACAAATATGTATGCCTGTCTTTGATACTAGAGCAAGGTTCCATAGTCTCTAGCTTGGCGGCAATGCGGGCTAGACAACCATCCACAACATTGTTGGGATATCCGTTGGGGTATTGCCGATTAACTACATGCAGGAACCGAGTAAAAAAGAGTTAGGACATATTATTGATACTTTTGTTATTATGCAAACCATGGCATGCAACATGAAGATTGCAAGCAAGCAGCAAGAAATTTTACTTCAGTAACATCTTTCTTGATCATGCACCTGCCCTCCATTTCTTTCCGAAAGATCTGCGTACATAATAATGAAGTTCAGAAAATCTTGAAAAATAAAAATCCAATCATATAACATCGCAATGCAAATAATAGTGTCCTCATTTGCTGTTGTTACTGTTTTTCCTGCTATGTTGATTGCATTCCATAACAAATATTTGCTTTCAAAATTCATCTCTAAACAGGAAAGTCTGAAACAGAGTGAAAGCCTTGACATGATAGTTTTAAATAGCAGCTTGGTTTCAAAAACGATCGCGACCGCGGTCACAAATTGCTACTTATTGCGATAGTAAAATAATGATCGCAACAATTGATGTCATGAATATAGTAGCAACTCGTTAAAAAATTTATTCTAATTTATATTTTTTTAATAATTTTACTTATTAAACATACTAATAAATAATAACATTTCTAATAGTTTAATATCATATAAAAATAATTGAATTTACTAAAAAAAAGTTAACACTTCTAGTAGATTAATATCACACAAAAAATAATAAACTAATTATTTAATCTTTTGATTAGTGGTGACCATATTTAATGTAATATTATTTTATTTCACAAAATATATTTTTCATAATTTTTTATGATATAAAATTATTTTTTTCCTTTTTCTATTTTTTAAATAAAAAGGAAAACTAATTAGAAAATAACATAAAAATAGACAAAAATGCCTATATAATTGATTTTTAAAATAACAAGGACTAACTAATTTATTTTTCCAAACTAAAGAGGCTAATTTATAATTTTCGTACACGCAATCCTGAAATTTGGGTGGATAACAGCAATTAAATTACACATTAGTCCTTTTAATTTTGATAAATGAATTAATTTATTTTTTGTTTCAAAAAATAATTATTTCATCGTTTGATGAGTATTATCATATTTAATGTAATATTATTTGTTTCATAAAAATAAATTTCATCAATCTTTGCATGATATGATTTTTTTTATTTTTCTACTATTTTTAAAATAAAAAAAAATTAAGAAATAATATAAAATGGATTAAATAATTGATTTTTAAAACAATCAAGACTAACTAATTTATTTTTTCAATTAAAGAGACTAATTTATAATTTATTCAAGTATAGCCTTCATTCCTATTGCTTTTGATCGTGAAAATAACGTGGGTATTGTACCTGTGAAAAACACGTGGACAAACCCATGACCTTGAGTAACGGTAACGAGGTACTTGGTTATTATTATATAACGGCTATTACGTTAGATAATGACGTTTATTTGAAACTGTGTTTGAAATTTCAGTATCCAATGATACTATTCATAAGAATCTCACTTACGGTAATTGTACAAAGAGAAATATCACCAAGAACACAACGGTCAAATACTCCCAGCTAGACAAACCAATAACCAACCAACATTCCTTTGAAAATGATAACCAAGCATCGAAAACATAAAAGTACTAACGAGAACAATGACCAATAAGTATTAACAGTTCTTATCTCTGCAACTACGGTAACGAAGATACAGTAAGCAACATATGGCACGACATTATACAGTTGCCGCATAAGTTTTATGAGATTGTCCTGTTGCTGTAATTTTCATTGGTGCCGGTCGAATATGCACAACCATTTCTTATTTATCAAAAAATACGCAATAGATTCTGCATTTGCCATTTGTCTTTATTATCAAGAAAAACAACAGGTGTAAATCACAATAAGACACCAAAATCTTCTCCGTGCAATGAACTTTTCTACTTAACTTGATTAATAGCAATGGGGCAGCTGACTGTTTTGGATGTAATATACTTCCTTTTTGTTAAATCAATGTCCACTGTAGTTATAGTGGTTAATGACGAGACACTATTGAAGCCAGATCCCATTATCCTTTTTTTCTTTACAAAGATTGCTAGCAATTCCCACAAAAAATGGTCGAGGAGGTATTGTCCTGCAATCAAGAACTCAAGGCTGAGGTCCTTAGAGTCAAAGTCCATGTTTCTCATACCCAAATATCGAAAAAAAAAAAAAAAAAACCCACCAGATCACCCTTTGAAGTTCACTTTAGGGTTCAGCTTTTATATGGAAATCTTCCCGATCATCATCATGTTATTTTGATTCCCAAATGTAATCTACTAGCTTTTGATTTATCTAAGAAAATTGGGAGAAACGCAGTGGCAGGAAGGAAGAAAAGAAGGTTAATTTTCTGCGAGGCCAAATCTACTATCCCACATCGCTAAAACAAAAAATGTCCGATGAGGCATGTGGGTACAGACAAGAAGCCCAAAACGACAGTAAACATACTTTCCTGGACGGGATCAATGGGTGATCAACAAGGCTCATAGTCTGGGTTAATGACCTCCATTGCAGTGAGGAGGGGCGCTAGCGCAAGGTCTCCCCAAGTTGGGAGAGCCTACGTCAAAATTTGTAGTAGAGCCCATGTCCAATTCTAATCCTAAAGTTCGCTGGTAAACTACTTTTATGGTTCTATCTGTCCATTGCAGTAACTGATATATAGGTTAGGGCGGATGTGTAGTTTGAATAAGTTGATTGCATCTCAAAGCAATAAATGGAGCTTTATTTGATCTCACAACACTATGATATAAGTTTCAAATCCATCCCACGAGCCTTTAGTTAGTACAAATACAAAAGGAAGAGAAGCCTCCGCATTATTTGCATCCTCTCTGTCGGGCTCATAAACCATGAAAAAGGAAATTGTCGAAACCTCAATTGGAATCCATTCAAAGACCTGTTCTCCACCTCAGGGCTCAAAAACCATACTCTCCGCGTCCTTCTTCACGGATTCAAAAAGCACAGAGGATAGGTAACGCTCCCCAAAGCTAGGGAAGACCGCCTGTTTACATTAGAAAGAATAGTAAAATACTCGGGACGAAAGACCAACAAAAAGGCCAAACACTAGAATTAGCACATAAATAAATAACAAGGTACTCAGAAAGGTGCAGCATATGTTCAAATGCAATTCTGTTAAGCTTTGCCAAAGAAATATGGTACAGATCATCACTGTGATCATACTTTTAAATTT